AACATAGGAAACCTCGTTTTCTGTAAACATAAACGCGGAAACTTTAAAACCTTTCGAGTTTCGGAAGAAAGGGAAATGATTATTAATACTTTAACGAATTTCTAACGAGTTTCGTAGAAAAGGAACAATGGTTGATAGTACGTACATGAATGCACGTCTGATTACCACAATAAATAGAAGAATAATTCTCTCTTTTGGTTCGTGCAGTTATTACCTCAATTTTTTAGCTTTTTTCTTTTTAATCTTTTTTTTTTCTTTTTTTTTTTTTTTTCTTTTTTTTTTCCCTTTTTTTGCTCGTCGCATCGCAAAGCATTTGTGAAAACGTGCAAACGAGGACATTGTAACAAGTTCGAAACTTTAACTAAAACGATAGTAGTTTATTTTTTTTATTACCATTTTTTTATTACCTTCAATAATAAAGTTGAGAAAAGTCATGGTCAGTATTTGTCGAACTAAAATACGATCTGATAAGAGCGATAATCGAGAATATTGAATGAGAAAACGTTGAGATTCTTCACGAACGACTTTCTTCGCTAAAGTTTCTCCGTTCCTTTTTTCTTTTTTTTTTTTTTTTCCCTCTCGTGTTCTCCTCCGATATCTTCGATTGCTTTTTTCTCCCCACCCCCATCGTTCTCGACCGCGAGCGGTCTTTTTTCCTTTTCTTTTTCTTTTTTCCTCTTCCTCCTTTTTCTCTTCTTCAAAATATTGAAATGATAGCACGTATTCTCCCGGTAATAAGTACCTCCCTTTAAAAAATTACTTTCTAATTAATTGATTTCTTGCAGGTAATCCAGGAGAGATTAAGAAAGTTAGTTCCGTCTATCTTGGAGGTTTCGTTAGGGACTATCCTGAAATTCAACGAGTGATCAATTTGTTGTCCAAGCAAAACTTTCGATGCATAATTATCGAAAACGATTAACCAACGTTGGATATCCTCTAGTACCTTGTGTAAGTTGAAAGTAAAGCAACTTGCATGTAGATAAGATATAATTTACATTTTATACTCTATATATATCTTATGAACCATTAACGAACTTGTAATATCATCTTTGAAAGTTAATGTTGAGAGATTTGCTGACCGTTAACTATAATCTCGTTCGCAACGCAAGCTTTACACGTCATAGAGCTCTTTCAAGAATGAACCTAATTAAGCGTTTATTTCGTAAGTAGAAATACAGGGATTAGCGATACGGATAATTAAACGAGCTTTCAAAAGCCAGTTGATTTCCAATGTTGTATGCGTTACATCGATGGGCATATTATAGTTGAAGTTAATTTTGTCGGTAAGTCAGTCGTATTTCATTCGAATCTTTAAATCTTTATTACATTTTATTGCTTCAATTTTATTCGTTCACATGAATTTTTATAGAAGAATGTGTATATTTTCAGTTTTCCACGTCGAAAGGACGAAAAAGAAAAGGAAAAAAAAAAAAAAAAAAAAAAAAAGAAACAAAACAACATAGGAGTCGGTGAAAAGTTTGGATATTTCTTGTTTCTTCTTTTTTCTCTTTTTTCTTTTTTTTTTTTTTTTTTTCTTTCCTTTTTCTTTTTTTTTGCGAACGAACGAATAGACGACGACGACGACGACACAGATGTAGTACTGGCCATTGCTGGAAAAGAAATTCTTTGTTTTTGTCGTCAAATTCGAAAAGCTCCGCTATGAGAACGATCGACGGTCCAAGCTTTTCGTTTCGATTCGCAGTTTAAATATCCGGTCTCTCTTGCCTAGTATTTCGAGTTTAGATAGTCGAACAAGGTATCAATTCCAGACAAGAGCACGTCGGCTTTGGAACTACCTCCTATTTCCACTGGAAAATTTCACCTCAAAGCTGTATCCGATTTACGTGGTAAAGCTCCACATCAAAGTGTGTTCGCGTTACATTTCGATTCTTTTTAGATTGTTTGCGATGGAATATGCCGATGTAAAAGTGATATATGCATATTTTCTCGCATGACGAACTACGTTCATTAGCTTTTTCGGACGATCTTCCGAAGTGTTTTCTTCTGTGAATTCTTTTATGTGTCGATCATTTTTCGATGGATAGTTATGCATATATATATATATATTTTTTTTTTTTGTTCGTACGAATGTTTTATCTAAGTCAAGTTTAATGAAAGTATTTAAGTGAATTTCTGAGATTAAATTTTGACAAACAACAGGGATATTGTAATCTGCTGATTGCGATATTATGAATGTAGACGAGTGTATAGCGTTGCTGCTTGCTGTTCTGTAAGAAACACGAAACAATGGAAAGTCCTCGGTATAATGTAACAAACCGCGATCGATCGATCCATCGAATGTATTTATATTCTTCTTGTTTGTTTCCCTAATGCATATACTTTTAAGTCATTGTTCATAATCTTATAGGTGCAGTACACCGTACATGTTTCATGAAAGAGAGAAAAAAAAACACGAATTCTAGTAAAAAGTTTAAAGACCGGTAACGTAAGTACTGCCTTTTTTTTTGTTCCTTCTTCTTCATTTTTTTTTTTTGCGTTCTTGTGCAATTTTGGTCGTCTAAATTAGATAATAATCTTCCCATATTTTCTTCCAGCTTTTCCAACTCTCGCCAACTTTATAATTATGAATGGTGAATTCCATGAATTCTCGCAGGTGTTTCGTAAAATATTCCTAAAAAAAACCTGGAGTAGGAATTGTGAAATATTCTGCGAGGATGGTCTTAATAATGTGATTCTCTTTTTCGAATTTTTAAAATTAACTGCGAGCATTACTCATACGTTCGGTCTAGATTATAACGAGATTCGAAAGTTAGCTATTTGAAATTTGAAAGAAAAAAGATAGATCGAGTAAGTAAATCTTTTAGGATTCAATGAACGTTTCTTCTTACATTCTTTATTACGAATTTGAGTTCTATCTCAACAAAATCTTCTCGCAGGTAATATTCGACTACGAGGACGGAGAGATTAATTTCCCCACAGCTTTCTCGCTTCGGTACGTTTTACGAAGCGATTGGATATATTTTATTACTGGCAAAGTAGAAAAGGAAAGGAAAGGAGAACGACACATCATTTCACGGATATATCTCACTGGCCAGGAAACACATTTTTCCTCTGATGATGTAATTCTCGCATTTCCATATCTCTCGAAAGGCGAGTAGCGACCGATATGAAATTTCTCGCGGCGTAATACGTCTCCCTCCCGCTCTCACTCACTTTCGCAAGCTCGTACGCGAGACACGTATGAAGGCTGAAAGTACATTCATCCAGCGTGTGATTTTTCCCTCCCTTTTCTACCGTTTTTCTCCCTCCTGCATCAGGACACGACTGTCGAGTACGTCGAGATGGTTCTTTTATTCTCGCACACGTTCGCCTTTGCCTCGTCGCGGCTGCAGAGAACGCGAGAGGAAGAAAGAGAGAGATAGAGGGAGAGAAAGAGCAGGCGACCAATCATCCGAGTTTACACGGACAACCCTTTTGTTCGTGCGTCATTGAAATTCCTTGCAATTACTCGGAATGTACGGAGCAGAATATGCGAAGGCACGTACGACTTCTTCGACATTTGACTATGCTCCGAATAGATTCGAAGAAGAGGAGAATTCACGACACTTTCGGAGGGAACCACTATCCTCTTTGAGTTTGTTTCCAAATTTTCTCCAAATATTTCGTACATCGCCATCCAATGTAGCGCATCTCTTTCCGTTCATAGGAAACACGTCTATGAATTAATATCGGCCACCAACTTTCATCCTTTTTGATATATACATACTTTACCGAACAAGCGAGGCTACTAGTATCGAGGCTACTGGTGGTGTTGCTGATGCTATAGCTACACTAGTACAATACAACTACTGTTATATAACAATGCTTGTTCGCGACTAACCGAATTATTCCGAACAAGCGCTTCCAAAATCCTTCCACTATTTTACGCCAACGTTTCTCTTCCTCTATCTCTTTCTCTCGCGCTCTCGACATTAAATTTATCTAGCCACGAGACGCGCCTGATTGTGAGTTACGTGAAGCTCTCACGCGCTATACGTTTTCCTTCCTTTAATTTCGATCTGGCTCGACGAATTTTATAGAAAATATTGTCGTCCTCTCTTTACCGACTTTACTACTCCTTTCATTTATTATTATTTTTTCTTTTACATCTATTTCTTTCTTTCTTTATTTCTTTATTTATTTATTTATTCTTCTTTGAACGAACTTTGCATTACACATAAAGCATAGAAGGTTCATCGTTGATTTGTTGTTATGCCATTAAAGTCGTTTGCATTCGATATAAAAACATTACTCTAATATCTATGCAATGTATACACATATTCCTACACTCATTAAATGAACGAAACAGGATATTCGATGCATCGCTCGTATTTTATCGTATTGTATATTGAAACAATACAAATTTTCCTCCGTGAATCGAGGTTAATTGATACGCGTCGTGACGTTTTACTTTTGAAAATTTCACGTAAAATTTCAACGTTGAATATTTGCCTCGTACTTCCTAATGTATCGAATACGTATCCACTGATTGAATTTTCGAGCTATCGCTCGCATTTGCATAAACTAGTTCGCTATAACAAGTGTTCGTTAAAAAATTATTTATTACAAACAAATTCATATTTCCTATAATTGTTTGTTATTGATTAAAATTTAAGAGTTGCTAAAGAAAATTTATTATATCGGCAATTTCTCTGGCGCTTTATGTTCACATCATACGGCGGGGCCTGCATTTTTATCACAAAATTATTTACTTCGATAATTTACATATATATATATATATATATATATATATATATCGTAATATATCGTAATATATATATATATATATATCGTAACGTTCGTTTATTTTTCAAGCAGTACTTCGATGTAATTTTCCTTGTACGTGCATGAATCATCGGGAAGGTGGCGCTGTACGCATGCGCGATGCCGATTTCAAATTCGTCTCATCATAGCGCAGGCACGAAGGACCACCATATTTGTTCCGGCAATGTCACGTTTACGACGAGAACCGTATCGTCTGTTCGATTACAGGTAATTAATAGCTTATTATTTCAAAATATATCTTTTTCCATGGCATAATCGTAATGCCCAACATGAAATATTTATTTCTTATCGTTTATAGCTCGTTTCAATACCTCGATTAAGAGATATTTGTGAATATAAAATTGGCGTCCTACTTGGCGTTTTACTTTGTCGTACGCGTTGTTCACATATTTTTCTCTCAATATCGATATTTTCCATAGATCGTAATGATAGTTAATTATTTCATAACTATATTATTTAGTTAATTATTTGTAACTCGTTAATCACTACCGATCGAATTGCGTATAATACTCTGCGTTCATGTGTCTCTACTATTGCGTGTGTATATGTGTGTGCGTGCGTGCGTGCGTGCATTTGTGTGCGTAATACGATATCCAAGATGGCTATGAAGAAGACAGAAGATATAAATTTTCATACGTTTATCTAATTACAGAAATAATTACTATCGAGATTTAGTGAAATGTCGACGTCATGTATATTGATACAGAGATAGAGATATAATCTGTTCGTTTCAAATCAATCAGGTTTTATATCGTATTAATTCATATTTTGCAATTTTCATATTTCAACGAGATCCATTACGGCTTATGTTAACGTAAGAAGAAACGTACTATGAATTCGGAAGAGAGGATGATACGTATAAGTGGATACGTTACTGTTTCATATGTGGGTAAGTTATATCAGTGTATTATTTTTAAGAAATATTTTTAACAACATCGAAAAATACTTATTGTTAACATTATGAGAATAAACAAACTACTACAGGCATTGTATTGCTCGGAATTTCTCGGAAATTTCTCATTCTCGAGCTCGAACGTAGACAAAACAGATTGTAGAGTCGTATTCATCTCAATACATCGTTTAATTTTTTCCTCGTAGGTTGGTTTTATTATTACGTAATGTTTGATATCTTTATACGATATCGTTGAGCTATTTATGGTGATGACTTTATACGGAATATTTTATTAAACGAACATAACCATTTTATTCTTAAAAGTTAAAGTATATTAAATTATAGCCAGTTAAAAGCTTTTCAAAGAAGATTCGATGCCGCGAGTATAACAAAACTCCGTTATCGTTTATTAATATTTTCTTTCTCCATATACGTGGTTATATATATATATGTATATATATATATATCATATCAATCGATATCGCCTGCGAGATATATTTAACGATTTAACGTATGTAAATTCTATCGATCTAATTGACTTCGGATTTTTCTTCTTTCGAAGCGCACTTTGTTTGAAAATTATTTCTTGGATTTCTTTTTTTTTTTTTTTTTTTTTGCAACCAGTTGATTGAACCGCGTGTGTATTTTTAATTTCAACAGTAACGTAGGTGGTATAGATATCGCGCTTTTATTTCCAACGTCGTGATCGCAATCGAGAGCGATCTGCGAGTGAAAAGGGCCGAGTGAGAAAACAAGGAGCGAAGCTCGGCTTCATATACGGGCTCTTAAACATTTGAGTGCGTTCGCATGGCATATATTTTTCATGTACATATATACTCGATGTATATACTCGTTTTCTCATCGACTCCACTCCTTTTCTACGTTTTCACCAACATAAGAGACTCGCCACGAGTGCGTTTATTCTCCTTCTCCTCCCTCCCCAACCCTATTGCTCCTTTCACGCATCCTTCGCTTTATTCGGATCACTATAGACGCGATAATTTCATTTCGCTGCTTTCTTTTCTTATTTTTAATTTCTTTTGTATCGTTTAATAGGGTACAAGGACAGATTGCACGGAGGAAAATTGAAGATACTTGAAACTGGAAAATGTCTTAACGGAGGTCCCTTTGGAAAAATTTGGAAGCACACGTGTGGCGAACGAGGAATATAGTCGTACGAGAATTGCGCTCTAAAAGCTCCAGGAAAATTATCGCGATCCAGCGGAGTAGGATCGTGGTGCGAACGTTTATTTTGCACTCGGTGAGTTTTCTCGTTTCACGATGTGCACAGCACCACTTCGAAATTGAATTAATGAAATTACCCTTGCGGCCCTTCTAGAGTTACCCTTCGCGTTTTATTATTATTTTTTGTCCTCGCTAGGGAAATGGGGTGACCTTAAAAGACGACTTTTCTCTTTTCTCTCTCTCTCTCTCTCTCTTTTTTTTTCTTTTCTTTTTACTTTACGTACGTAAACAGACTTATACGTAAGAAAGAAAGTTATTTAGAAGATTGCTTAATCTTTGTGGTACAATTACATTGTATGATTTAATGAAAAAATGTCACGAATATCGTGCCGTGCGAGATGATAAGAGAAGAAGATATCTTTTTCTTCTTTCTTTTTCTCTTTCTCTCTTGATATTGAACGAGAAATCAATTTTAGCACGGTAGATCCTTTTCCAAAGAAGACCCAATCAGCGGCGATGCCGTTGCTTGGAAAAACGAAAAGAAAATCTTCAGACTCTGCTAAGTCGTTGGGCATTGAAAACGAGAGAGAGAGAGAGAGAGAGAGAGAGAGAGAGAGAGAGAGAGAGAGAGAGAGAGAGAGAGAGAGAGAGAGAGTAAGAGAAAGAAAATAAAGAATCCTTTCCAGCCATTCTCCGAGTAATCGTGTCTTTTTCTCAAGCGAAAGCGTAATATTCGTCCCTATCGTGTAGACGTAAAGGACGACAACTTTTTCATTTCGCGATGTTTGACCTCGGATTAATTTCCTTCAATACTTGCCATTAAGGTGAATATGGTGATAAACTTAGGGATATTGATATTTCGGCGAAAAAATATATTTACACCACACTCACACACACATATGTATATTTACGAAGATATATGTGCGTGTATACAGGTAATAAGATTTTTTACTTTGAAAGAAACAATTTTGTATGATCGCGGTGTTATTAATTTGTTCGAAAAGAAATCGATTTCGTATATTTTTGAAATCGATAGTTCCTTCCTAGTATGGAACGTATGTGTCTACATAAGCCGAGCGTAGAATTTTTATCGTTTAATTGCTGCGGCATGTCGGTTCTCCCTCTGTATAGGCTCTACGCTTTTTCCTTTGTTTTCTTTCGGAGGAACAACGCTGCAGCAACTAGGCTCGCATGTTCCGCGATTCGAACGAGTGGTCGGGAAACGATAACGGCAAGTGAGAGATAGAGGGGGGGGGGATATCGCGTACCAGATAAATCAGGAATAGAACGCTGCTAGTCGAAAAAGACATCTCTAATTTATAGACTAAATCGTACACGTATCGCGTATTCGTGCCATTATAGCGCCATTATTGGATCTCTGAGCGATAGTAATTACAACGGGACGCATCGTCGTTGCTTCTATCCTCGTCAATGGCACAGCGCCGCGTCGATAATTAAATTATCGAAAGCATCCACCATTTCTCCCGATACATCGTACGCGTTCCTTTCCATGCCAAGCTTTGACGTTTATTTATTAGTGAACGAGATAAACGAGCTTCCGTAGTAGTTATAATCCGTTGTGCACGGCTACAAAGCTTAGGACAGACCTATGCTATGTCTGTGGGAAGCCGGACCACTTGACCAAGACATGCACGGGTAAAACAACATGTCCTGTTTGTGCAGACGCTGGCCGGAAGCCGACCAACCACCGTGGCGGTTCTTGGGAGTGCCGGGTAGTGCCTTCTAGAAAATGGATAGACAAGGTTTTCGGGAGGGCACCAAATATTTGCCTTGAAACAATCCGGGAAGACTCGCATAAGGTCGCGGAAAAAAACTACACTTAGGACAATGAAAGTGACCGAGAAGGAAAGGGTGCATGAAGACATAGAGGTGGAACAGGGTGTACCGGGCACCTCAATAGGTGTAGAAGCAGCAGGAGGCCCATAGACAATGACCTCTGCTGTTCTACAGATAAACCTGAACCATGCACGCAATGCGCAGAACTTGCTGGAAAAGCGCATGCACGAGGACAGGGTAGAGATTGCGATCATTGCGGAGCCGTGGTGGGTTCCTCCTGGGGATAAGAGGTGGTTCTCATCCCTGGGAAGGACTCCACTCTCTGCGGTGCTTGTGGGTGAAGGTGGAAGACCCTGTAGCTTGGTGCGTCGGGGCCTTTTTTACGTAGCCGTCAAATGGGGGGACTCGCTGGTAGTTTCAGTCTACTTTCCTCCCAGTAAGAACATTATAGACTCCTTGATGAGCTCGAAAAGCTCTTAGGAAGATTCCCTGCTCTCCCAGCGCTGGTGGCTGGCGACTTTAATGCCCGATTCAGCAGATGGGACCCGGAAGGCAGGAATAACCCCAGGGGTAAGTTGCTCTGCGTCTGGGCCAACAAAATGAACCTGGTTCTGCTGAGCCGGGTTGGCTGTCCCACGTGCGTTCGACCGCAGGGGTCGAGCGTTATAGATCTAACGTGGGGCACGCCAGCAGCTGGCGTCCGTCTCTCGGACTGGAGGGTGGATGAGGCTGAGTCCCGGTCGGACCATTCATATGTTAGATTTAGCTATAGTCACAAGGTCACAGGGGTTCAAAATTCTCGCCCACAACATAAAAAGCCCCCTCGTTGGAAGGTTAACTCTCTGGATGAGGACCACTTGGTTACGACCCTCATTTCAGTGAAGTGGACGAGTGGAACTATGTGCAGGGAGAATACGGCCATTGTGGACTGTGCAGACAAATTTGTGAAATGGGCACAGTCTACACTGAAACAAGCGTGTGACATGGCCATGTCCCGGGTGAGGGGACAGATCCGCGGTAGTAAAAGTACTTACTGGTGGTCGGACAAACTAACGAACCTTAGGGCCGTTGCGACGCCCACAGTAAGGAAACTTTCCAGAGTCAGGAAAAGGAAGAACAGGGAGGAAATAGTGCGGTTCTGGGCGCCTGGTTCTGGACACCCGTTTCTGGACCTTCTAAGGAATGCAAGGAAGGCAATGACTAGGGCTTTAAAAAAGCCAAGAAGAACTCCTGGAGGGACCTGCTGGACTCTATAGAGGATGATCCATGGGGCAGACTTTACAAATTGGTCTTGGGAAAACTCAGGCCTTATGCCCCATCAGTAACTGAAACCGTGGCAGAATGAGGAAGGTACTGGAGAATATCCTCTCTGAACTATTCCTAGGAGGACCGAGAACTGATGAGCCGCAGGAACCTACACTCTCAGAGGTGACTATTTCTACGGAGGAGGTCTTGGCTGCCGCCAGGAAAGGAAAAGGAAGGAAGGCTCCTGGACTGGATGGGATACCGGGTGTGGTTGTGCTTGCTGCGTCGACACACTGTGGGAAATAGTTGGCGCAGTGCTTCTCCTCATGCTTGAGGACAAGAAGGTTCCCGACAGCGTGGAAGATAGTGAGGCTCGTCCTGATCAAAAAGAAAAGGGACGCGCCCCCGGACACACCGGGATCATATAGACCGATATGCGTGATTGGCGAACTGGGGAAACTATTCGAGCGCATAGTTGTTGGCCGGATCAACAGCTTCTTAGAAGAAACTCGTACCCTGGCGCCATCGCAGTATGGGTTTAGGATGGGCAGATCCATTGTAGATGCCGTCCTCGATGTTAAAAAATTTGTGGAGGCATCGACGCGGAACAGGAAAGTGGTTATCCTGGTGAGTCTGGATATCTCTAACGCTTTCAACTCCTTGTCGTGGGCCGTTATCGTTAGGGCGTTGGAGCGAAAAAACTTTCCACGCTACCTGGTGAGCATCATCAGGAATTATTTAGACAATCGCGCCATAACATATACAGGTAGACATGGACGCGCCGGGGAAAGACAAGTGTATTGTGGGGTCCCACAGGGATCCGTTTTGGGCTCTACGTTGTGGAACATTGCCTATGACAGTGTCCTCCGAACCCCCGATGCCAGGTGGCTCCCGTGTTATCAGCTATACGGATGACACGGCCCTCCTGTCATCGGGATGGGACCTGTCTCAGGTTATCATGAACGCCGAGCGGGACTTGGACGTTTTGGTGGAGGAGATCGAGGGATTGGGTCTTAAAGTGGCGCCGCAAAAGACGGAGGCCATGGCCTTCCCTGCCTCTGCCTTCTGCAGACGCAGGAATGTTCCGCCCCCTAAGATTTGCCTTAGAGGGGTTTGCGTAGAAATTAGAATCAGTGTTAAATACCTGGGCATAGTAATAGATTCAAGAATGTCATTCAGGCCCTAATCCCTAAAGTGGAGGGTATCCTCCGGCACCTTAGGAGGCTCCTTCCGAACCTTCACGGACTGGGGGAGAAGAAGCGACGCCTCGGGGGAATGGGCGACCTTCCAGACCTTCTCAGGGCGGGTCATGCGTGCAAAGGTGGACGCTGAGAGGCGCAGGGAACGGACGCAAGAAGAAGGACATATGAGTAAGCGTGCGGGTATGTATGTGGACAGGAGTGTGAACGATAGGCTGCATAAGAGAGTAGCTCCAGTGGCAAGCCTCCGAGTGGCTCAGGCGGCGCCTGGCTCACGCGTCGCTTCCCTCTAGGTGTGAGTGTGTGTATACATACAATGTGTGTATACGGGCGTGAATGGGCCTGGTTAGAGCATCATGGGGTGGGGATCGGGCCAATATGTATGTATATAGGTAGGGAGTAATTGCGTCTCCGGGGGCTCGTGGGCCCCTGTCGAGTGCGCCGTATTTAGTTGTGTGGTATGAATGTAGATGAATGAATGAGAGCAAGGCGAATATCGGCCTGGCTCACCGAGGAGGGGTACTGGGCGAATTTGTAATACGCTTATGCGCGATACCGCCCACGCCCTCTCTCCTCAGCGTGTTAGTAATAAGTATCGGGAGGTTTTTTAGTCGGTAGGCGATCCGAACCTGAGAGTATGCTCAGGCGGGTTGAATCCGACATTCCTTTGAGTACGGGGCTCAGGGGGCCTATGAAGGTTTTTCCTCCTGACGAAACAAAAAAAAAAAGTAGTTATAATCCGTGTTGAAGGAATGTGCTAGCTAAGTTTTATTTTCCAAAGGTATTATCTTGAGAGCGTGCTTATACTTTGTTAAAGGAAAGAGAGTAGTTATTT